GCAAGAAGACGGATTTTATAAAATAAAAAGCAGTTGAAACTGCATTTTTATGAATAAAAATTTGACAAACTATTGCGTTTGCAGCTTTTAAGTAATGCATAAACCTTCGGACCGCAAGGCATAGGCGGTGGCCCACGTTGTCCATGCCTTACACCACCCTTGGTCATAGAAATGATGTAATTTGAATATAAATTATTTATAAATACATATGTCAAGTTATATTTTTATTACTACGTAAAATATATTTGAGTTTACGACCACTGTGCCGGTGAGACGTTGTTGAAATAAAAAAAATTATGCATTCCATCACGTACATAAACAGTATCGTAATTCGCCAAGCGCAAATCAGCAAATTCATAAAATTTTTGTTTATTTTGAACAATCCGGATAATAGAGGTCCGGATAATCGAGGTTTTACTGTAGTTATACTAAAAGGCATCCAAACATTTTGAACCGATTAGCCACATTACATATAAAGTACACCTCACCTAATATAATTTTCGCGTAACGTTACTCGATTTTGCACAGATTTATAACGTTACGAGGAAATCAGAATTATACACAGTCAAAATCCCAGACGTCAGACATTATGAACGTGTTCTTTGATGTCTTCTCTCTTGGTAATTTAAGAATATAATGAGGAGGATAATTTATTAAATTGTTTTTACGAATTTCAGCTTTTTCTGGAAAGAATTTCGGTTGTTACCACTGGCCGAGAGCCACCGAACACTGGTAGCGGTGTCCATCGGATTACGAGACGGCCACGTGGACTTATCATCGAATGCACGTATTAAAGAAATAAATAAAACCCTCCCGAAAGCACCCCTTGGCAGATTGCCCAAGTGTGGCGTTGCCATATCTCCAACAATCTAATTGGACCAATTTCTAAATTCAAGATGCAACAAATATGGAGCCTACAGTATCAGTGTGAATAAAACCACCAATCACTGGTGTGTCGGTGGTGGGTTGGCGCCTGTCCAACGGGCTGGCCACATGGGTTTTCCGGATTTTCTTAAAGCCCTATTTCTAAATAGGCGCCAGTTTACCATAAAACCTCCCTTGAGGCATCGCCCACGTGTACAAATAAGAATAAAACAAAGAATATTTTCACGACCCAAAGCTCTTTATTAATAATTTAATATCACAGTTACAATTTTTAAAAAGCATTCAACATATAACATATAATATAATATAATATATTATAGAAGTGAAACCCGAAGTTTGACTTTGAGGTGCACCAATTATAGGTTAACTACAAAGAAAAAGACAATTTTAATACACAATATTATATAAATAAAAAATGAATATTCAAGGGCATTTGATTATTTTAAATAATATTTTGTCTGTATTTTTCATAGCAAGAATTAACATTTCTTAAAATAATTACAAATTGGAGGAAAATACGCATAAAAGAGACATTTATACTTGCAAATGGAAGTAGTAATTACTTTATAAATAATTTTAAAAAATAAATTGATTTCATTCAATAATGAATTAAGAAATTTTTCTGTTTAATAATACTGACCTTCTTTCGTTCTAATTATAAAATCTTCTCAGTGCTTCAATCCTTTTCTTATATTTTCTTTTCTTAAGACTATTTCCTTGATATCACGAAGATCGTCTTGTAAATCTTGACGAGATCATCAAGATTATCAACTACACCTATAAGAGTATTACCGAAAACGTCATCTAAACCTTTAAGACACGGGTTCCCAACCTATGGGTCGCGACGGGTTTTCTGTGGGGTCGCCAACTTATGCAGTAAACTAAAACAAAATTTTCACTATAATGCAATATTTATTTTTAATGGTGTCTTAAAGTTCGAATAATTTCTTATATTTTAAAAAAAAATTAAAATAAGTGTAATCTGGGTACGCTATTCTGTCACAGTTGGTTGAAACATGTGTTGAGAGTTTTGAGAGGAATAAATTAAATGTTGAGAATGGTATGAGGTTGGCGTTAACAAAATCTCACCCGCGAATTTTGAGGCTGGTTAATAATACATGCAATTTCAACCATCGCATTAAATTAATTATTAAACATAATTTAAAATAAAATTATACTAAAAAAACTAATTTCATTGTGTTTTTAATTACCTTATTAAAAATACCTTTTTCAATTGTATCGGGGTCGCGGGTCACTTGGCTTTTATAAAAAGGGGTCGCCACCCGAAAAAGGTTGGAAACCGTTGCTTTAAGTGTATTACCAAGAACAACACCAAGAACATCTTTAAGAGTATTACCAAATAAATTATTTAGGCCTTTGTCAATATCGTCAAGAACAGCACTTAAAACTTTAACAGTATCAGGATCGAGAGGGCTAATAACTGCACTAACAAGCCCAATACCAGTTATACTATGTGGCGAAATATCCTGACTACCAAGTGCTTTAGCATTTGTATCAACATCTTTATTTTGTACATTTGCAAGACTTCCTTCGGAATTTCTTCGTTTTAAATTGAATCGATCACGTCCTTCGATTTTCACGTATCGACCTTCGCTACTTTCTAACAGAATAATTCCTAAAAAAAAAGTAAATTTTATCATTGATATAGTAAAACATCTGGCAAACGGCAACTGGAAGAACGTTAAAAAAATGGAAGATTTTGAGGGTTAATTTTATACGCATTTTTGTCTCAAAAAGAGTTTAGGAAAAAAGACAACGTTTTAAAAATGACCGTTTGCTGGGATATGGTCGTTATTGCTGGTTGGACTATACAAAATCATTTAAAGTACGTCAATACATACTCTATAAAGTTTACTTACCGATAACGACGAATGTAAATAGGAACTTGTTCATCTTCTGTTTGTGGAGTTCCGACTCGTTCTGCTGTTTCCCGAAGGTTTTGATCTCGTGTACGCCTTGGCACTTCTTTATATAAGAGAAATGTGCAATTCATCGTAATTTCATTGGTTGCGTGACAGCTGGATGTCGATCAAAGTCGATGATGTTGCGCGTGGGAATTTTATAACGTCCAATGGCGTGAAAGTTTATTTAAATTTACATACAGTCGACCCCTTATAACGCGGTAGATACGCTCCACTTTATACGAATTTCGCGTTGTAAGAATTCTTAAATACATGAGCCAATCACAGGCCGACACCTGTGCAGTTTACTGACTACGGCTGTTTGAAAGGTTTTCTTCCATAAAATTAATCGATTCTAGACTAATTTCACTCAACATTTCCAAATTACGTATAATTTTTGGGAATAATCCGTATAAACTATGCTATAAACTATGTAGGATTGTATAAACTATGTATAAACTATGTAGGATTACTTACCGAGTGTGCACCGTTCGCCGACGCCAGAATTTTTTGTACGCTTGTTTAAAACATCAAAAACATTTTTTTTTAATTGGAATTGCAAGAAAACATTTCTTATACGATGTAAGAAATTTACTTCTATAGAGAAATTTACCAGTTCAATAGATAATTCGAGTTCCTCCCAGGGCTGGACTTAAACTTGTTGTGGTTGTAAGTTATAATACGTAGAGTTTACCAGTTGTCCAATGGACAAAATCATCGAACACTAGTCTTAGCTTCTCCGAGTTATTCAAGTGTCGTTATTCGAGTGTCTAACACCGAAATATCGGCCAGTTATCCATACAAAGTTCTTTCAAATGTCATCTCTTCCCTCATCCGCGTTGTATTATTGTATTAATCCTATGACATATAACGGGTTCTTTCTCCTCCAAATATAAATACTTATATATATATAGAGGTCAAGATTTAAGCTCTGAACATATTACACGGGGCCGTGTGGCGTGTAATTATAGTATAAAGGGCCTTTCGGTGTACCGGGGCAAAAAGTTAAACGTAGATTGACATGGTAACTCGACGTCTTTCGTGGGCGATCTGCCTCAAATAATGACTTTTATACAATACTAATTTTAATTATGTGCTCCTTGTGTATTTAATTATACTTATATATATATACGAAAGACGTCGAGTTACCATGTCAATCTACGTTTAACTTTTTGCCCCGGTACACCGAAAGGCCCTTTATACTATAATTACACGCCACACGGCCCCGTGTAATATGTTCAGAGCTTAAATCTTGACCTCTATATATATATAAGTATTNTCAAAGATCTACCTGTTTATGAGCGCTCGGGTTAGAGTTTGTCTTCCGCTAAGACATTAACAGATAGTTGACACATACTCGAACCGTTCCGAGTCTCGTTGTTTACATCTCGTGTCGCGCAAGAATTTCACGGTTTACTCCAGTTCGAACCTCGTCTGGGAACCCACACTTTCGGTGGCCCGGGGCAGAAAGTTAAAGAAGTTAAACGTAGATTGACACGGTAACTCGACGTCTTTTGTGGGTTAATTATACTTTCATATATATAGCTACGGTATATTGTAATTAAATGAAATTATACAATAATACAAGAAAGGATTAAAAATGATTAAATTCATCCAATATTAATTTACCTGTAAATAATTATTAGAATTGTTTATAAAATAGATTTTTACGTTAATTCGGTAATAATTTTTGGTAAAATTTATAAATATTTTGTCTCGGGACTTAAAAAATAAATTCACGAAAATGAGAGAACGAAAGTAGAAAAGGGTAAAAACGTCGTTTGCGTGTCTGATCCGAAACATCAACAATAACACATTTAAGGCCTGATGGCGGAGCCTACCACTCTGGAGAACCCGGGATCTTCACCTCAAATTAGTAGAGTCTTGCCCCTGTACACCATACTTTTCCATTAGCGACAGAGTCGTGCCGGTCATCTATCGAACTCCTTTAGGAGAGGTGAGACATTTTTGAATTGAAATAACGTTTGCGTTATTTCAATTGACTTCGATTGACTATATTCGAAGTTTCCGGTCGCGTCTCGGGCTTCTAAACTTTTCATATCCGGTCTCGATTTACATCTATCTAACTTCTTTTTCCAGATTAACGAAGTACACGCAGACACATACTCAGACAATAGACAGACACGTGGCAGTGGAAATGTATACATCTGCAATTTGTAAATTGCAGTTGAAAAACATTTATATTCAATTTATTAAAGGGGACGTCGTTCTTGACAAAAAAAAACTAGGAGTAAGATTTACACAATTTTTTAATGTAAAATGTATGAAATACGGGAAAACTTTCAGCTCATTCCGACTTCAGATGTAATTAAAATATTCAAACAACACTTACAGTAAATCAAGAAAAGATTATTTAAAATGATGGGTTGTAACGAAAGAGGCAAGCTCACTTTTGATAATGGCCATAACCGTGTTTTAAAATCGCATTCTTGTGTATATTTTAAGAAATTATTAAGAAAAATACGAAATTTTCAAAGAATCGTTATAATTAAAAATATTTTTTCTGTGCTTACTCTTTAAATGCGATCGAATCTGGTCACGCAGCTGTTAACTCCGTCACTTAATTGCGAAATTTTAACGAATGTTGTCAACGTTGGCACGTGGAAGACTTGCCAACGTTCGTTATATTTATTGAATTTATTGAGCAACAATTTAAACAAATTCTAGACCCATAAATTTCCACTGTCTTCCGTATGTATTTCCTTACTCTCGAGAAAACAGTTAGATGGGTGAAAGACGAGACACGAAATGGAAAGATGAGGGAAAGAAGGCTACGTTTAACTATGACCAGAAGGCAACGTTATTTTTAATTGAAAAATTCCCTTAAAGGAGTTAGATGGATGACCGGCACGACTCTATTGCTAACGGAAAAGTGTGATGTACAGGAGCAAGACTCTACTAATTTCAGATATTTTAAATAAACACTTAAAAATATTGTAATATCTTATTTTCCTGTCAGAAAATTAAGTATAATGTCAACCGACTGCCTTGTATTATTCGCCTTTTACGATTCATAGAATTGCTTATACGATTTACAAGCGATTCTATGAATGGATTTATAGGATTAACGAAAACGTGACACACGGCCATCTACGAAGGGGAGATGACTCCCGGCAAGATATTGCACGGGAAATTGGCACCTATCTAGGTACCAATTTCGCAAACAACGTGAACTGAAGTACTTTCAAAAGATATTCTATGGGGAAACTGGCCCCTTTTTATGTAATTGCGACATGAAGAAATCCCGAAAAATTGTCTGATGGCCGGATCATGCATTCGTGCTAGTGGGTCGCTCCGGCGGATCTTGAAAGAAACCGGAAGAGTTGGACGATTCGGGTCTTCTCCGTCTGGATACGTCGGTCCCGTCTCTGGACATTCGGCCGCCTCACTGCTGGCCTAGTACAACTGACGATGACAATTATTATTTTGAATAGATCCTGAAAAACCTTCGGACGTACTGTACAATGTCATAAAGAAAATTCTCGAGAATACTATTTGAATTGTGAGGGTCGTAAAGGCGCGTAGAAATTTCGACTAATTACAAACTTTAACGTCAGAAAGTTTCGAAGACAGAATCGGGTCAAGGGGATGTGTTAGTGACAAAGCCCAGATGAGACGAAAACTTTCTCGAATTGTAAAACAAACGCGACGCGACGATAAATAACAGGGGGGAANCACTTAAAAATATTGTAATATCTTATTTTCCTGTCAGAAAATTAAGTATAATGTCAACCGACTGCCTTGTATTATTCGCCTTTTACGATTCATAGAATCACTTATACGATTTACAAGCGATTCTATGAATGGATTTATAGGATAAATGGGATGGGATTAACGGAAACGTGGCACGCGGCCATCTACGAAGGGGAGATGACAAGACATTGCACGGGAAATTGGCACCTATCTAAGTACCAATTTCGCAAACAACGTGAACTGAAGTACTTTCAAAAGATATTCTATGGGGAAACTGGCCCCTTTTTATGTAATTGCGACGTGAAGAAATCCCGAAAAATTGCGCGTATCTGATGACCGGATCACGCATTCGTGCTAGTGGGTCGCTCCGGCGGATCTTGAAAGAAACCGGAAGAGTTGGACGATTCGGGTCTTCTCCGTCTGGATACGTTGGTTCTGTCTCTCGACATTCGGCTGCCTCACTGCTGGCTTAGTACAACTCACGATGACAATTATTATTTTGAATAGATCCTGAAAAACCTTCGGACGTACAATGTCATAAAGAAAATTGTCGAGAATATTGTTTGAATAAATAAAGAAAATTTCAAGATTTGAAGTGTCCAAAGTACCGTGGTGGTGAGTTGGTGTTCGTATTTGTTTTACGTAAAATATCTTTCAACGGCTGGAATTATCACCATACCAGATTTGACGGCATTGAGTGTGCTAAGTGTCTCTTTAGATAGTGTATAATTGGAGTTCTCAGTTGAGATTACCTGCATTCTTTGCATAATGTATGATTTATCCGTCGTTATTATTACATTCGAATTTTTACTTCCCCGACTGTTATGTATAACAGAGGGAAGTATGGCGATGGGTCATAAAATGATCCTCAAAATTTTTACAGTTTTGGACTCGGTGAACCTTGAAACGTGGAGAAATGCAAATGAATTCGGGGTTTTTTCTGTATGTGTGGATTTCTGTGTGTATGTAAGACACGATTTTGTTCATTTCCTTTGAAGCTTAATAACTCCATTGTCTTTTTTCGAAAATTTTAGAAATTTTGCAGACAAGTTTCTAAATTAAGAATATTGATACTGTTAAATATTGGTGGTTAAAAGTGAAGAGAGTGAAAAGATAATGAGGATCGCGTGTATCGCCAATGGGGACAGACTTAATGAAGATTTTACTTACTATTATCATTTAGAATTTTTAAAAATAAAACTTATATCTTAATGCTGAAAATTAAACTTTTTGCCATTTTATAATAATTAAAAATATAAAAAGCTTTTNACGCGCAAAATCGGCGAACTTACAGAATAAATAAAGAAA